GCACGCATGCACAGAGTTCTTGCCACCGTCTTGCCTTTCCAACTAAGATTCGGACCCTGATCATCCCATATAAATAGAGCTGCTTCCGAACCGCGGCAGCATTATTAATTCATTAGTGTCACTTCCATTCATTCAACCAACCATTCGAATTATTCGAACACTTCGATTCAGTGCACGAAAGATCCCAACTTTCTGAAGAAAAAATACAAGGCTCCCGGTTGTCTTCCTTTCTTTCTATTTACTGGTTAGAACTATTCAAGGTTCTCGGTTGCATTTCCTTTTTTTCTCTCTCTCTCTCTCTCATTACACTGGTTAGAGCTTTACAAGATCCCCGGTTTCTTTTCTCATTCTCTCTCTCTTTTAACCGGTCTGAGTTATACAAGGTTCCTGGTTGATCTTTCCTTTTTCTCTCTCTCTCTCATACACATTCACACCTCTTTTCATTGATCAATTCTTTTCCTCCTAGTGAATCAAACGGAAGTCCCAGCTTCTAAAATTCGACAATGCAATACTAAAAAACGATCCCATCATCGTCGTAGTTGCAGTTGAAATCGTCGCAAATGTCAGGGCCGAACCAAGAAATCTAAGCAGATATCGAAAGAGCCGATTAAACCGTCAACATTAACTATTACTACTCCTGAATCCTCCCTAAATCAACCTTCAGCATTTTCAGCTAATTCTATTCCTTCTTCTGCTCCGACACAATGTCAATATCAAATGATCGCACTTAGTTATTCTCCCATGCATCCATCCGATGCAGAATATCTTTTAGACTTCTACGCCCTATCCCCAGGTTCTCTATTCTGAGATGGCGAACTTCTTTTTGAGGATATAGAAAACGAAGAATCCCATCCTATCGACCTGATCACTCCATCTCTCGAGGAACAATAAGGATACTCCTCTCCTTAACCTTCATGTATTAATCTCCTGTCATCATACACATATTATATACAATTTTTATTATTTTTCTATTATATTTTTGAATTTTCCTTCATTTTGCTTATTATGTAATTACCAGTTCAGCTAATCAAAGAATATTAATTGTATTACCGAGTAGGATTATCATATCAAAGATTCAATCATACATTCACACTCTCCTTCGTAAGAATCCTACCCGATGGCCGCATTTATGTAACACCCGCGATATCACACACACACACACACACACACACACACACACACACACACACACACACACACACACACACACACACACACACACTCACACTACACACACACACACACACACACACACATATCTACACAAATTATTTCTTTCTTTTTAATTTCTTCCGTCTTTTTTTTTAATATATTATGTATACTTTTATTTTACTAATTAAAATCAATGTTTAAATTTAAATTTTACTTTCTTAAAAATTTTTACTTTCTTAAAAATCCTCGATTTCTTTTCTCCATCCTATTGCACGAGGTCTTTCCCTGGTAATAAGAATTAAGTTTCTTTAAAAAACGACTGACAAACGTATGTCTACAGCGAGGCATCTTAGCGATT